GCCTGTGACTTTCGGTTTTCATGCTTGCTTGTAGAATTGCACAGAACGTGGTAGGTTTACTGACATTTTCATGCAAGTGATTATACTAACCTGACTATTTTAATCAGAAAATGGAAAACAAACCTCTTATTTTTTCTCGGGTCGTAGTAATTATGAACCAGAAGCGTTTGAAGTGCCTGCAGGGTTTACTGAACCCGTGGCGCGTTCTGAGCGCTGTCACCGTCAAATCTTCAGCAAAGCAAGAATGCAGTACGGGCTAGAAATTCCTCACTTCTCCTTAGTGGCAACTTTCCTATTGGGCTCCCACTTGCACTTAGGTTTCCCTGAAGAAAACACAACCTTTTTTTTCCCTGCCAGTGTCAAGTTTAAGAGGCAGGATTATCTCTATTTACAGAATAGTTATTCTAAATAGGTATCAGTGATTTAATGTGTTTCAAAGCACTTCAAAGCTTGTAATACTTTTATATAGAACTGTGCATAATTAGATTAGCTGATCCTATATTAATTTTTTTTTCACTGTAGGATACTAAATCTGAGCTCCCTCATTAATTGTGAGAAATTTAGCATTAGCTGTTAAATCCTATGTGAAACATGGGCTGCTACATAAAAACTACTGTTTAATTTGGAATTAACTTAATTATTTTTCTTTGCACTTGATATTTCCTTCACTGTAATATTCATGAAAGCATGTGACAGATTTGTAAATTTAACTGTTAGTCTCAGATTTCCAGACCCTTTAATCAGTATTTATTTGTCTGTAGAAACAGTACTAGCAAGTTAATGATTTGCTAATTTGAAAAATGCTCATGTGGTTTCCTATGTTAACTGATTTGTGCATTTTTAAAGAAATGGTATGAAATCAATTATTGTTAAAAAGCAATTAAGGTGAAGATCTTATTCCTGAGTTTCTCAGTAACTCCAGTGTCAAGGATATTCAAAGTTACTGAAAACTGGAAAAATAAGTGAAATATTTTAGCTGTCTTCTTTTAGGTTTTTAAATGATTGTTATAATCATTTGCAGTTAATCTTATTAGAAATTTTAAACAAAGTGTTTTCAGATTTTGAGTTGAAGTCAGTTATATTTTCCTGTAAGTGCAGGAACTGTTTTGAAAGCTGTGTTTGCATATGAGATGGCAGTAAGAAGCCATTATTGGGAAACGACATTTAACATAAATCAATGCGCTTATTCATTACACTTTTAAGTCATTTAAAGTAATTTGTTGAGATATATCCTGTATTCAATGCCTAATATAAAATGCAACATAATTATTTTAGATTTTTAATTCAAACTGTAAAAATTAAGCCGATATTAACAGCCAGTCATTCAATAAACCACTCAGTTGTAGAACACTTTTCACATAAATGTCTCGGAGCACTTTACAAAAGGTAAAACTGGATAAAATTGTAAACAGGTTAAAAGAAGATAAGGGTTTAAACCAATAGCAATGGAGCAGTTTGAAAGTGACTGTTTAAAGACGTGGGCTCTCAAGCAAAATCAACATGAAAATAATGCTAAAATCAGTATTTTCTCATGGCTGGAGAAAATTATATTGTTTGATGAGTCTCAGTTAATAGGATGATGTAGCTAAACCCTGAACTTCACCTGGTGTCGCGGAAAACTTTATCTCGTATTGTGACGCACGCCGTGCTTTGGATGGGAGTGCTCCCAAAGCTTAGTTTTCAGCATGCTTTAATTGACTGTGGAAAGTTAGCTGTAATTGCTGTAGGCAATTATGTACCTGCTAGCCCGTGTGTCTTCAGGTCTGTTTTGAGCTCGATCTTATCATTTAATATTAACATTTTCCATTTGTCTGCTTTTCTTGTTTTGTAGAAGAATGTCTTCCAAGCAGGCTACCTCTCCATTTGCATGTGCAGCTGATGGAGAGGAAACAATGACCCAGGATTTAGCATCACGAGACAAGGAAGAGGGCAACAGTGATCAGCATGCGCCCTCTCATCTGCCTCTACATAACATAATACACAACAAACCTCACTCTGAGGAGCTACCAACTCTGGTCACAACCATCCAGCAAGATGCTGAATGGGATGGGGTCATCTCAGCTCAACACAGAATGGTGAGTTTCACAGTTCTCATAGCAGCTTTCTGAATTAGTTTCAAAAAAGAATGTTCACTTCCATTTTGAAAGAAGGTTCAGTGCCGTCGTTCTTGGGCACGGAGCCTCTTACATGGTGAGATGTCAGCGGTAGCAATAGATCAACATCAATATGGTATAATTGTAAATTACAGTTGTATAATCCTGTTAAGTGTACAGGTCTATATGCATGAGGTCATATGATGAGTTCACCTTCGGAGAGGAAATGCACCTATTTATCATGTTTTCATTCATACCCTGATTTATGCTGTAACCTCTCTAGCTCATATATTCAAACATTAATTTCAGACAGGAGGATGTAGCTTACAACTGTTTGTCATCTGCAAAGTGTTGGGCTGAAGGAAGACATTTTAATACATTTTTTAACTTGCCTCTCAAAAATAGAACTGCCCCTCTAGTCTAGAATATAATAGCTTCACACCACAACAAAGAAGCTAGCATTTTAGGTGACACAAACATCCTGCTGTATTTACATGAAATAAATCTTTTTCTGCAGGGGAAAGGTATGTATGAGTAACTATCTCTTGCTCTTCTATTCTAGATCTCCAGTATACACTGAGATCAGATTTATTTTTTATTATTATTTTTTCCCTTCAGTTAGCCCAAATAATATTGTTTTACATTGTAGTACAGTTTTTTTGCATCTCCTCATCTCTGCTAAAAGTGGGCAGACTGAATGAAGCCTGAATGGGCATAGCTCTTAGTCAATTTATTTTTGTCATATGGGAAGAGCAGAATTAAGGCCCTTGGAGTAACCAGGTGCTCTGTAAAATTAGAACGCCATAATTCCAGGCCCTCCATAAAAGTGACTTTCCACAGACATTAAATTCACATAATTTAAATATCTTGCCTTTTCATAAAATTTCTTTTGTGTGTTTATTAGATGTCTAAGACTAGATTTTTTTTTTTGCAGTAAGAATTCAAACTTTTTAATTAAGTAAGAAAATAAAAATCGTAGGTTTTTTTGGACAACTCTAGCAACAACAAATTTATTTCAGATTTGGCTGATAATAATAATTCTGATGAGTAACTCAAAATAGAGACTGGCATTCTTCATGCATATTATGATTCCTGGAGCTAGAGCACTAAATAAATACTAGCACTTGAATAATATCTATTCAGTTAAGACAGATTTTTACAAAAATCAAATTGATTCACAAGATTAAACAAAACTAGAAAAAAATGCTACCTAATCCTTAATGCACACTTTAACCCAGTGAAGGTCTCTCTGCCAGGCCTCAAATGTAGCTGAGGATTTGTGCTACCACCGTGGAACTGGCAAAATTCTTGGTCTTATTTCAGTTGTAAAAATGATTTTAAAGAGAAGTGAGTAAAGATCAGCAATTTGACAAGGTAGGTTTTGTTATTCACAGGTCACCTAAATATGTTTATTAGTAGATATGTACCTATGTTCTAAGTTGTATATATAGTTTCTATGCAAAATTTCCCAATGAAGCTTATTTTTGGATGGAGAGTAACCCTTTTGCCCAAGTCATGCAATTGCAAACATAATAATTTTAATTTAGATCTTTTAGTTACCAAGAGGGAAAGTAGAATGCAGAACAGAAAGGCTTGACCAAATCTGTTGATGAAAAAATAAATTTGCAAATTCATCAGCCTCTTTCCTAATCTTTCTGTGGGGCATGTGTACTTTGGGAGTTTCAGTTTCCAGAAAAGAAACATTGATAAAATGGATTTATGTCCCAGAGAGAAAGGAACTCATCAGTCCGAGGAGTCTCCCAACACATCTGTGTTTGAGCTGGGCTGTTTCTTGGGCCCGGAGCAGCAGCGGAACCCTGCTGACAGAACCTCCTGCAGTGTGGTCGGTTGTGCTCGTTGCCGTTGCTCTGGAGTGACCTTATGCTCGGAGCACAGTAGTGCAATCTCCACTTTCCTAATGCCCCGCCATCCTCTCCATGCTGGCTGTACCTCTGGACGAGCAGGAACCAATCTGCAGCTTATCATGTTTCGGAACAGGTGCATGAACTCTGCTCGAGTGACTTAGCATGCTGGGTTTTCTCCCTTATTTTTTTTTCTCCAGTAAATCCTTCATCACATACCTATGTGAATCTCCTGAAAAACATTAGTAGTTTCCACGATTCCTTTGGGTCAGATTTGGTGACCATCCTTCTTTGAGTGGCATTCAGCTAAACCAGACAAATTTCTTAGCCCAACCAAAGGCTGGGTATAATGTCCAAGTTTCAGCTAGAAGTGGTACCTGAGGTTATAAGGCATGCTGTTCAGGTGCCCTTAAAAGTGAGCTAAACCGCAGAATTTAGCAAGGTCCTGTAAGACTGCACAGAGCAGGTCCCAGTTTATTTATTGTCAAAGTGGTGGTTTAGATGACTACTTGTAACAGTGAAGGGGCGAAAAGATTTTTTTTTGACAGATTTTTCTTTCTTTTGAGAGTTTTGAGGTTTCTTTTTTCCTTGTTTCCTTCTGAGAAACCCTTTAAGCTTCAATTAAGTTTCTTGGAAACGTCTTAGTCTCTGAGTAGATATAGATACTGTCAGGAAGGAATTCAGAGAAATCTGAAATCTTC